CATTTTACTGTTCTCTAAGTGGAGGCGGAGGAGTTGGTAAATCTCATTTAACCAAATCAATTTATCAAGCTGCACTTAAGTACTATAATTCTTGTGAAGGTGAAGATTTTCATCAAGTTAACATTTTGCTCTTAGCTCCAACAGGAAAAGCTGCTTTTCTTATCAGAGGTAATACAATTCATGGTGCACTTGCAATACCAGCAAGTCAATCGTTAAAAAATTACAGACAACTTGACTCAAGTAGATTAAACACGTTACGAAGTGTACTGTGTGGTGTTAAATTAATTTTGTTAGATGAAATATCAATGGTTGGAAACAACATGTTTACTGTTCAAATAAACAACCGATTAAAGGACATAAAAGGCTGCAAAGAAGACTTTGAAGGTGTTAACATGATTGCAATTGGTGATTTATTTCAACTACCTCCAGTATTTGACGGATATGTTTTCAATGATATTCAGGATTCCGAATATAGTTTACTTTCACCAAATTTATGGAAAAAATACTTTAGAATGTATGAACTTAAAGAAATAATGAGGCAGAGCGAAAGCAAAATATTTGCTGAAATTTTGAATTGCTTACGAGAAGGAAAACATACAAAGAATGATATTACAAAAATCAAAGAGAGATGTGTTGACGAAACAAGATGTCCAGATGAATGACTCTGTTTACCGCGCATCTAGTAGAAATCTGATATAATGACTCTGTTTACCGCGCATCTAGTAGAAATAAATGTATTATCATGGCACAAGATAGCGTCATTGGAGCCACTTCTACTGAACTGAGAGACAAAATACTAAGGCAAGTACCTCACCTTTCATTGAAAAATACAAAGCAATTGGCAAAAAATCTGGGTCTAGCTGAAGGGGAAAGAACAGACATTGCTCTCAATGTAAGAACTGATGATGGTTTAACAAATGGTGCTGGCAATGTGATAAAATTAATCAAACTTCATCAACCAAAGAAACCTTCTGGTATTATTTGGGTGCAGTTTGACGATGAAAATGTTGGCAAGAAAACTAGACACGAAAATAGACATTTGTATGTTAAAGATATTCAGAATACATGGACGCCAATTAAACCAGTTACCACGCAATTTTTAATAGGTAGAACAAAGTCAGCTCAAGTAGTGAGAAAACAATTTCCGTTGCGACCAGCAGCAGCTAAAACTGTACACAGATCGCAAGGTGATACCCAGTCTCAGATTGTGGTAAACCTTGATATTAAAGAGCTATCCCTCATATACACTATGTTGCCCTTAGTAGAGTAACTACGATAGATGGACCAACTTATGTGAGAAAAAAATTATTGTCGATACAAAGGTTACTGCTGAGATGAAGCAGTTGAGAACACAAAGGAAACTGAAACTTTGCTTTACTCCACTTTACAACATCGATCATTCGCATCTGAAGGTTTGTTATTTAAATGCTCGCTCACTGCATAAACACATTGAAAATGTCCGAAATGACTTCAATTTGACTTCTGCTGACATATTTTCCGAAACAAGATTCAGTCCATTTGATGATGATGAAAGCTACACTATCAACGGTTTTCAACTATTTCGAAATGACAGCGACATGACACACCATAGCAATGGCAGACCATTTGGTGAGACAGCAGTATATAGTCAGTTACCATTTCTAGAAGGCTATCCTTACATTCACAATATTAATGGTATTGAATTTACTATAGTTAAAATTAACAACAATGAAGAATTAACAATAATAGGAATCTATCGTTCGCCAAGAATTCCTGTTACTCGATTATACTCTGCATTAGCTGATATCCTTGCTCAAGATACTTCCCAGCAAAATATCATCATTGGAGACTTTAACATAAATTGGATGGTTGACACTCAAAGACAGGCTCTTTACAATATAATGGTCACAAACAAAGGCTATAAACAATCAATAAATGATTTAACAACCGACAATGGAACCATTATTGATCTCATATTTACAAATATTGCTGATAAAGGTAATTCTGGTGTTATAGAAACATATTTTAGTGATCACAAAGCAATTTGGATAGTATATGCAAACTAATAGTACTAATAGATTTTACAAATCTCACAAGTTTTCATTCAAGTCTAATTGCAATATTGAACAAAAATATATATTTATATTTCTCTTGCAACTGACTAAAATGTACTAACAGTCAAACGATAGTCCCACTGTGAACCAATAAATGCTTGAGAAATCGCTTCAGCTATCTATTGACTATATACCTGCTATATACTATATATACTATGTATGACGTCTATAGCTGAAATATTGCTCATTTTATCTTATTCTTTGTATTGTGTTCATTTTAATTCTACAAAACGTAGCACTGTACTATATTTTTTCAAAGTGTGAACCGTTGTATTTTTACAATACAAAAGGCTGTTTCATGCATTTATTTTTTTGCAGTAATTTTGCTCTCCTGTTCTCCAACAGGGGGCGTCCCTCTATTTCAAAAAGTTTTGCGCTTCAGCCGGAATATTAAAGATATTACGTTTGTTGCTAATTTTAGTTGTGCAAAATTATCAACCACCAGTAAAACTACTGGCAAATTGCCAGTAAAAACCCGCATCACGTGATTTAACTTACTATATATAACACGCATGTGGCATGTTTGTCGCTTCGTGTTGACGGCTAAGCGCAAACATCAAACATGGCAAGCAGACAAGCGAAACAAAGATCTAGGAAAGGTATGACAAACTCTTAATAAATTCAAAACCAAATTAATTTTCCCAAACTTCAAGCATTTATTTTTTCTCGTTTAATAGATTTGCCTTCGGCTACCCCTGGCCCTGCTGATTCCCGTAAACAATCACCTGCGACAAATACTCAAAGAAAAGGTAATGTGTCTTATACTTACAGTAAAAGAATCGAAAATACAATAGACATAAACCTCGAAACTCGGAAATTTTCTTTATAATTATTAACTTTTTTATTATACTTTATAGATTGGGCGTCCACCGCCGTCCACCGCCTTTAATAGCCCAGCTATTGAACAACAACCAGCAACAAATGCCCAAGGCCAAGAAAATAAACAGCCTGCCAAGCGTAAAATAAATGACGACTCCCTGGTGGGTTACATTCACGATGTCAGTCCCACGAAAGTCAGTGGCAAAGGTTCATCGTACTTTTCATTCTACATACAAGACAAACAAAGAGTGTCCAAAGCAATTTGCTTTTCGCCTGAAAAGCGCAAAATGCTCGAAAGCAAAGCGGAAAGCTGCATACCTTGTAAAGTTAGCAGATACAATAAAAGCAGTCAAGACAGCAGCGAAAACGTTGTATGGATAAACAAGAATACCAGAATTGATGATGCTCCGATACGCAAGTCAATTTGCCCTACAGCAAAGTCGAAGTGAAGCCCCCGCTGCTACATAAGTACAAGATTTGCGAGACATGAAAATCAACCAGCTTGTGACCGTCGTTGAAGAAGGCACATACTACGAGGCTCGTAATATTCTACTTCGGCAATACAACAGCGAGAAATACCTATGTTCAACTCCAGCATCAGTCTTTGTGAGGCTTTCCGTTTCTCAACCAAAGATTTTGTTATTCCTATTATTTTTTCTTAGATCAGGCACTGAAGAACAGTATGGTGAAATTGAGCAATTATTGGATGACATATCTGCATTTATTGATGATATGCAAAAGGCCACAACAACCAAAAGAAAGAAAGATGAATTTGATAGAAAGAATGCAGAAATGTTTCGAGATGCTGCTATGCTTTCAATGAGAGAAAGTAGGTTATAAAGATGCAATCCTAAGCTGAGTGGTTAAAAAATTGCTTTTGTTTGGGGCAAACAGGGCTGCAAATAAATTTTGGAGCGGGTATGGAAGGGGGGTAGTTAATATTAAAACAGCTTTTTAAGGCATCATCATTAATGTTTTGCATACATTCAGGCCCAGAGTACCCCCCCCCCATCCCTTTGAATGGTCCTGGTGGCATATTTTTGGCATATATGGTTATATTTTTTTAAAAGAACAACCAAACAATAGTGACACTGAAGATGAGGATGCTGCAAATGAAAGTGAGCTCTCAACTAATAAAGGCAAGTCTATAGTTTCTCTTCTAACCTTACCATATTAATAATTACCATATACTAAAAATATAATGTTTACCAGTTCACACTTTGTGCTATTGTAAATGATAGGTAAGAAAAGAAAAAGAATCAACAAGTCTGATCTTGTTACATACCTGTCACAGAAGAGCGAGGCAAATAATGAAATGAAGGAAAAGGAGCTAGAGTTTCAAAACCATGCATTGGAGATTGAAACTGAATTAAAAAGAGAAGAAATGGCATTGGAAAAGAAAAGATTAGAAGTTCAAGAAAAGCAAATTGCAATACAGTTTGAAATGTTAAAATCGTTAATGAGCAAGTTCTCAAAAGAAGATTAAATGTTAATTATTTTATTATTAACACTTAGAGAGCATTCATAACTTCTGTGGTATGGGGCTATGTATTTAAAGCAAAACATTTCACACTAATGTACTAGAAGTACAGCAACTGACTGTCAGGAAACACTAGAAATGAATAAAGGTCAACAAATTTTGTCGATTCTCCTAATTTTTCCTAGAAAACATCTGCCCCCCATTCAAATCTTCATAGCCCTTGCCAAATAAGTTATCAATGTTCATGTTTACACACGTTTATTGTAAATGCTTTTCTCTGTTATAAAATAATTTGCTAGCACCACATTAATGAAAATTATGTTAGAGTGACGCCGTTAAATTATTAAAAATGAATCGTTCAACTTATTGCGTATAATTACAGACTTTAATTTAATGACCCAAATAATTTTGGAGATCAGGGGGAGCCAAATTAAAAAATCTTGATGTGGTGCTGCCATAAAGGCATAAAGGCATTAGAATGGCACCCACAACGTAGTACATGCCAATTGGTTGTAAAAGTACCTTGAGGTTCTTTTTGAAATCGAGGAAAGCAAAGTAGTACTGAACCAGTTTACCAAATGTCCACTCAACTGATACACGTAGTTTACTCATGGTTTGGTGGAACTTTGTTGATCTCTTGTTACTGCTGCTCCTCTATATGGTGCAAGTAAATGTGGTCGAAGTGGGTATGCTGGATCTCCGTACAATGTAAATATTTGGGGTGGTCTAAAATAATCTTCAAGCTTAGGTAACAATTTGCTCTCATGCAGCATAAATGCATCATGGTGTTTCCCAGCAATTGGACCATATAAGTTGGAAATAAGTCCATTAGGACAAACAACACTCTAAAGAATAAAAATATTCATTTTGAAATTACATTACAATATAAATAATATTATGGCTAAACAAAGACAAAAGCTCAAAATTAATTAATTAAATGGGAGTAAACATAAAACCTATGAGTGAAACCTGAAATTTTAAACCGTGTACACGCTTATGTCCAGAGAAGAGAATTCTTTGGTTTCTTATTGGTCTGCAGCATGGCCGCAACGTTCCATCGATGAATCCCCAGCCATTTTTAATAGGACTTCCGGAATCATGAATAGCTCGAGCAAATACATCAACTTGAATCCAGTTTTGATCAAGCTCTTCAAGCAGGTAATGATACCGTTCATAAATGTCATTAAGAATCTAGAGAAAATATCAAACACAACTCAAATAAAGATCTGACGGTAATGTTCTCAGGCCAGTAGTATACATGGTGTCTCAGTAGCCGAAGCCAGCATTTCAGAATCCTATTTGACCTTACCTGATGGACAATCATACTAAGTTCTGGTTCGGGTCTTCCAAACAAGAAACATAAATCTGAAAGGCGATTTGGATATGTTAGCCGTCTCAGCAATATTAAGAACGCCTCCAATCCACTAGCAACAGTTCCGTTTGGACACTTATAAAATGCAGGGATAGAAAAATGCAACAATAATTGGTGAATATCGTTCTTGGCAAATCTGTAACAAAATTTAAAGCAATCATAAGATATGAATGTAAGTATATGGTTTAATACATCGGAGCCATTTGTTCCGTAGTCAAATAGTTTACTATGATGCAGTCAATGACATACCTGAACAAATTAATGCACGCATTTTCATCAATTTTATCCAAATCTATTGTAAATGACAAATGGCTTTGTGGTTCGTTCATAATATAAAATGCTAAGATACTTTCAATATCTTCCTCAAAACTTTCATCCTCATCGCCCTCAGCAGCAAGACAAAACAATAAATCATCCAACTGTCTCCTGCAAGAATACAATTATAAAAAATTTAATCTGTTTTGAGGAAAATAAGAATAAAAAGGTATAACAACGTCAAATAAGTATTTACCTTTCTTGGGCTGCCGCCATGTTTGTTTTTTACCCGGATTCCAAAACGAACGGGAATCTTAACCGGAATTTCTTACCCGGTTTACGACTACGGGTACAGGTAAAATACCCGCACCCATACACCGGAACTGGGGTATCTTAACCTCTCTAATCTCGAAATTTAACCCTTCTATGGAGTAGATGCCTCTAGGATCGGATACTCTACAGTAAGAAATCGACCATAAATAGCTTTCCGCCTTTCCCTGACATAATAAAATGATTAGCTTGCACAAAATATCTTGCAATGCAAAATGCACAAGGAAGCAAACACATTTATATTAATTTACAGGTCACCCAAACGTATTGTACATTCGTACTTACGCGAAACCTGCAGTACCTAATTGTGAGACAAACCGGAACATGCCCGCTCCTTATTTAACTATAAAATCTGTCTAAAGCGTCTAAATCTTCCAAGCATTTTGGGTTGCACATTTTGCATCCAAAACCTCGTCGTCTTAAAATTTAGAATTCATGCTAGCAAGTTTTTGCTGCAAGTTTTTTCTGCTCTTGGCCCGTGCAGCAATTTTCAGCGATATTCACCCTGCACGGCGGAGTAAAATTTGCCAATCTCGCCCCTTTAAAATAATAAGCCAAAAATTTCGTCCGCTCCTCTTGAGTTTTTGTGCAATTTCTAACTTTGTTTAAGCTGCTAAATACCAGTGTTTACCATACCCATTTGCTACAGTGGCAATGTACAAATTAAACTATTTACGAACATTACAGTAATAGGGCTAATTCAAACAATGTGACTGTACCTAAACTACAGTAGCCGCATGTACGCTTAAGCGGACCTATTTTTTGTATTTTTCATTGTTAATCAATTTCTTGTAGTTACGGTATCTTTCCTTGAACGTATTTGCTGTCATACTTGCGTATTCCTTAATTTTCCCGTTGACTGATGCCACCCTTGCCTTATACACAATGTTTTAATTTAAGCAGTTTTTATTCAAAGGCCATTCTTCCGAATTCCTGCAGTCGCAATCATCTTGAGTTGGAGCAGTTACGGGTTTTGATAATATTTGTTTGTTGTGACAAGATATTATGTTTTTAATGTTGGGCATGCAGCTGTAGCTAACTTTGACTGTATTTTAATTGAATAATTTATGCAAAGCACTTGTAGAGGTGAAGTGTTTATCAATAAGTTGCAGGAATGTCCAAGCGACCTTTGTCTTCACTTATTTGCTGAACGGGGGATTGAAGCAGATGATGTTTCTTTGGCATCATTGTAATTGCTCTACCCAAGCGCATCTTCGTAGAATGGTTTACATTCATGAAAGGATTGTTTGTCGGACGAAAGAGATGAGATGCGTTTGTTGATTGATGTAGGGATTTGTTTTAGGATTGATGGAGGATGGTTAGATCAGTTGTTGAGGTACAGTGGTTCATTGTTTGGTTTCCTGTAAAGGCTAAAGGCTAATTTCCACTCCAGAAAACGAGCAGCGGATTGGATCAGATTTAATTTTTTCCGAGCCTGGTCCGATCCATGAAGTGATTTTAGATCAGTTAAAAAAAAGTTAAAACTATTTGAACTTTTTTTATCCGGTCTCGGACACTTCGGATGAATATAAGCCAAAAATTTCAACAGACTGCGCGGATTATCTTTCGTTCCGATCAATTCCTCTGCTCGTTTTCCGGAGCGGAAATTTAAGGCTAATTTCCACTCCGGAAAACGAGCAGCGGATCGGACTTTTTTCCAAGCTGGTCCGATCCATTAAGTGATTTCGGATTGGATAAAAAAAGTTAAAACTATTTTAACTTTTTTTTATCTGGTCCCGGACGCTTTCAGATCATTATAAGCCAAAAATTTCAACAGACTGCGCGGATTATCTTTCGTTCCGATCCAATCCTCTGCTCGTTTTCCGGAGTGGAAATTAAGGCTAATTTCCACTCCGGAAAACGAGCAGCGGATTGGACTTTTTTCCAAGCTGGTCCGATCCATTAAGTGATTTCGGATTGGATAAAAAAAGTTAAAACTATTTTAACTTTTTTTTTATCTGGTCTCGGACGCTTTCGGATCAATATAAGCCAAAAATTTCAACAGACTGCGCGGATTATCTTTCATTCCGATCCAATCCTCTGCTCGTTTTCTGGAGTGGAAATTAAGGCTAATTTCCACTCCGGAAAACGAGCAGCGGATCGGACTTTTTTCCAAGCTGGTCCGATCCATTAAGTGATTTCGGATTGGATAAAAAAAGATAAAACTATTTTAACTTTTTTTTTATCCGGTCTCGGACGCTTTCGGATCAATATAAGCCAAAAATTTCAACTGATGGCCCACACGCGGATCATCTCTCGTTCCGATCTGATCCGCTGCTCGTTTTCCGGAGTGGAAATTAGCCTTAAGGGGTGTATTTTCCATTGTTTAAGTTCAATGTAATGTCCAAAAAGTTGACAACTTGGTGGTTAACTTCATCCATTATCGTTAGACCAATTTGTTGGAACATGTCATGTGAGATCTTCCTCGCATTGTCAGCACCCTTGCCATTTATGCCTTTGATTAATGCAAGTCCATCATCTCGATATAGTCCAACGTGTTCTTTGCCAAATATGTCCGCAAGTTTATTTAGGACAAATAAACAAATCAACTCGCAAATCTCAGCACCATCATAACTGCCCATAGTTACATCAAACAAATCGCTGCTTTTTGTCCAAGCGTTACCGCCGTGGAATAAGAGGGATTTACGAGCATGTTTGATTATAGAGATATCCTTCTTCGGGATTGATATTAAGGACTTGGCTTGGTCGAGAACGTGATAGAAGGGTCAACTTCATCTATGTCAAAAGACAGAAAGGTGCAGTTGGACTTTTCTTCAATGTTCTTGAACCAGACGGATTGGTTGACTTTTGTGGTACCTCTAATTTTTGTGTTGATGCTGTCTAGGATGACTTTCTAGGATGTATATGTACATGTATATGCGTATTTGCGTACACGTGTATATGTGTCTATGTGTGTATGTGTATATGTATGTATGAATGTATGTATGTATGTATGTATATATGCATGCATGCAGGCATGTTGAAAGTAATTAGTATGCAAAGGCCTGGTGCACATTATGTATTCATGACGTGCCTTGCTCCTTTAAGACCTTAACCCTAATTAATTATTCAACCCGATTCGCATCCGACAATCACCCGAAGATTGTGTCACTGATTATGTATTCATAACAACTTTCAGTTAATTTATTCCAGTCGCAAACAACGCAAGTTTTTTAGATATTTATCACTTTAAAATACAAAATGCTAGGATGGCCAAGTTGGTAAAGGCGCTAGACTCAAGATCTAATGTGCGTTGCACTTCGTGGGTTTGATTCCTACTCCTAGCACTATGCTTTTTTATGTTTGCAGTCATTAAATTTTGGTAGAATTGCAGTTTAATCGATATTAATTTTTAAGCAAGCGATATCATTAGAACAACTGTACCTTGTTTAAGACGAATTGACCTAGGCAGCTATGATATAAACCTCTCATGATCTGAAGTCATGCTTTCGTGGTTGTCAACCAAATTGTCAACATTAATTTGTACAACTTGAATATTTCCTTCAACCAATATTCTCAAACGAGTAGGTGTTAGGCAGAATTAAAAATTGCACGCAGTAGGACAATGAAAGAAGTCATTAAGCAGGCAAGTTCCAGCAGCACGTCTTTAATTGAGCATTAATTAACTAAATGACGGAACCCATTGTCAGTTAATGACCTTGTCCAAACATGTTTATGCATACATTACTGGTAATAGGTTTTAATGACTGGACAAACCTGAACATGTTCGCCTCTAAACAAAGGGTAGCTTGCACATAAATATCGCACATCGAACAGAATTTGCCCGAGAAAACATAGCAATGGAGTGCTTACATGGAGTGCCTGCGACCGCAATCTCTCTACCAAGAAAGGAAAGTTTTGGGTTTGTAACAAGAACAACCCTAAATGTTGTGAATTCTTTTGCCCTGAACAAGATCGTTCGCTCTTTGATACGACTAGGATGATGTGGAGGGCGAATGGTGCGATTCATCCGCTGTGTGATACTCACCAAAGACTGACCAAGATGAAAGTTGGGAAGGATCAAAGTAAACGTAAGTTTGGGAGACCTTTTTTGTTTGTTGCGATCTTAAAAATCCTTGTAACTTTTGGCAATGGGGTGACAGATTAGAGCTTCCCAAACCAAAGTGCCAGCACGGGTTAAACTGTTGTGTACCAAAAGTTAAAAAGGAGGGAGAAAATCAAGGTTGTCTGTTCTTCTGCTGCCCAAACGACAGAGAAAAATCTTGTGGCTTCTTTGAATGGAAAATCGTACTAGAGAATCCTTTTAACCAAGATCACTTTCCTCACATTCAGAGAGTTGGCCTATTGCAGAGTAATCCAGCTCTGTACACGTATATGGTATCCGAAACAGGCCTTACCTTTTCCAGCGCACGGGAAAATCTTCACCACGCATACGCTGAATACATGGGAGAATTACCGATGACAACAAAGGCACAAACAGAATGTTATTAAGTAATCCTGAACATAACATTTAATAGACTGCATAACATAATGCATAGTGTAGAGTGAAACTATGTGTGTATATAGATAAATGTTTATCCTTAATTTCGCAGCTGTCTGTACAAATTTAAATTTCAATAAATGTATTGCATAAATATCACGCTGCTTGCTTGTCTGTATTCATTTGGATCTTGGTCGTGCACAATGAATGGTTTCGACATGATTGTTGACGAGCTGCAGCAAAATCATGTTCAAATCGATAAAGAAACTTTAAAGTTTTATGTAGACACTATGCTTTTAAACCATGGGGATATGTTGCAAGGTCATTGCCGTGATTAC